ATTTTCAGCGGTCACGCTCCACTTAATGGGCCTTCACCTCTGCAGCCCCACCTCCACCCCGCACCTCCCGCTGAGCCCTCTCCCCTGTAGTATGTCCTTTGGGCAAGAGTCTCCCCACCTGGGCCAATGTCCTCTACTACAGGAACCTCTACCTCTCCCTCTCACCTTAAGCAACTCGGCTGGCCCACTCCTCCACTCGGAGAGGGCTTCAGGTTGTGCAGGAGGGAGGCCAGAAAGACCCCTCCATGTAAATTTTATCCTTGTTTTTCCTTGAGCTCTGAGACAGCTTCTTTCCCACCACCTCCACTTTAACCCCAGTTCCAATCCTCCTTCCAGGTAGCTGCTGCTCCCAATAAGTTAAAGCCAGATCTCTGCATGAGGCAAGATCACTGGAAAAGTCCCTTCCCGGAGACCCAGGTTGAGGACGCCTTTCCACCTCCCCACTCTGTTTGCAAGTCCTGCCTCTGGGCATCCTACCTACATCCTCAGGCAGGCCCTGCTCCCAATGCATGTGGAGACAGAAAAGGCATTTTCAGAGATGGGGAATGAGGCAGTGGTTCACCCTGTCTTCTCAGAGCAAGCAGGACAAATCGCTCTCTCGGGCTGCATGGAAGGTCATGGACCAACTTAGAAACCAGACTTACGCAAACCAGGATGTAGGCCACCAACTGCCTTTCCATCTTTAGCACCCAGTGTCCCCAAGGTGCCTGGAAAAGAGCACAGATCCAAGAGGAGCTTGGGGTAAACCCAGGTCCCCCTGCTCAACCAAGGAGAAAAGCTCCTTCTATAACAACTGATGGTTCTCAAGGCCTCAGTGGATTCTAGGGGGTCCCTCTTTTCTCAAGCTGGGAAGTTTTAGGCAAAAAGTAGCCTATGCTTTCCCACACTTGGGTTTTGTTTGTTTGTTTGTTTTGTTTTGGTACCAGGGATTTAACTCAGTTCCCACCCTGTTTTGTCTCTAAAGAGACAGGGTCTTACCAAGTTGCTTAGGGCCTTGATTTTGCTGAGGCTGGCTTTGAACTCACCATCCTCCTGCCTCAAGCCTTCCCAGCCACTGGGATTACAGGCATGCACCACCATGACTAGCCTGGTTTTCTTGAGTTTGGCAAGTCTGGAAACCCAGTGGGAAGGGGGTTTACAGACTACAGGACAAGAGCTCTAGCAGACATCCCACTGCCCAACCCAGCGACAGCCCCATGTAGCCTCTGAACCTGGGTGGGAACCCCTTCCTTTTTGCACTTCCAGGTATTTAAACCAATATTAACTAACTGGTGAGCCCTGTGCAGGCACCATGGATGCAGGAAACTGGAGCKAAAAATGTGTTCTTCTCCTCTGCAGATGCATTTCAAAATAGAATAAACTGATTGCTCCATATAATTAACTATTGGGACATAGCAAAACCCTGAAATGATGCAGCCAATTGTCTCCAGATGGGGTTGGAGAGGCTGTGATTGTTTAACTCTCTTTAGCTGTATTGGAACTCAGCAGTCAAAGGCCCTTCAGGAGACAAAGGCTGGGACTCCAGTGAGTACATCAGCGCTGACCGGGCTGGCCCAGCTCAGGAAGAGTGAATTCAGAGAGACCTCCATTGTCCCAGTCTTTTATGTTTTCTCCCAGCTGGCTCTAATCTTTAAATATTTACCCGATCCCTTTGTGCACCTATGGCTTATGCACTTTGGGCTGATGTGGCTGATGTGCTCGTAAATTACGCATCATTTACCCATTTTCAGAGACTAGAGAGAAGGGATTTTCATTCCTCCTGCTGGGAATGGCCAGAGGGGAGAGAAAACTTTTGGAAGACCAGGGCTGTCTCCTGGAGAGAGCTACAGCAACACTGGATGGGCCCCTCCCAGATGCCCTTCTGGCCTCCACGTGGACACTGGACAGACCAGAGGCCTATGAATGACTAGGAGCTGCAGGAGGCCTGCTCTCTAAAAATGACTGCCCTGGCACCCATCTGCAAGGAGGAAGGAGAGAGCTTCCTGGACCGCCCCCCCCCCCAAGCTCCATGACCCTTAGGGCAGAGTGACCTTTCATCCTGGGAAGTTTGTATGAGGTGCATGTTGTCCACCTCTCAGAGGCCAAAACGCTTTGCCCCATCCATGTTCTGTCTCTTGCTTGCTCTGGACCATCCTCCCTTCCTATATTCTCTCTTGCTCATTAAAGCAACCCTGTCTTAACAAACAGAAGCCACTCTCCCTCTCCTCTCTCCTCCCCTCCGTTCTCCCTCTCTCCTCTCTCTCTTCTTTCTTCTCTCTTTCTCTCCCCTCTTCCTCTCTCTTACTGAAAAAAGAAAGAAAGGAAGAAAGAAAGAAAAACAGAAACCTGATTTTATCTCAGTCTGTGGTTTAACTTGGAAATGTCAAGGTCATTCTTAGGGTTGTCTAAATCAAGAGGAATCCCAAATTGGACCCAGGAAATAAAGCCACTTTAACCTGTGGTGGGATGGCAGGATTGGGGAAAAGTGGGGGGCTGCAAAGAAACCCTCCTATTGAATGAGAAAGAACTCCCTTTGTGCTTGCCTAAGGGTAGAACAAAACACATTCAAATGCTTAACTACAAGAAAAAAAATGCCAGCAATGCATCCCGGAGGGGCGTAGCCTTCCCTTTCTTTATTTTTGTGTGTTAGTTAGCATTTATAATCTTATATTTTTGTAGGTTTGTCTGGAGGGTCCATGCATGGTGGGTTTGATCAGATTGCTTTTCTCTGAAGTAGTGTGTGTTTGCATACTTGTGTAGATTTGTTTACTTGCGCCCTCCCTCATCCCTGCCCCATGAGCGGGGGTGGGGGGGGTGGGGGGTGTCCTGATAGATTCAGCAACTTCTAAAAATTTTCTTCCTGCTGGGTATGGTGGTACATGCCTCTAATCCTAGCTACTCAGGAGGCTGAGGCAAGAAGTTCTCAAGTTTGAGGCCAGTCTCCGCAATTTAGTGAGACTGTACCCCAAAAAAAGGAAGGAAGAAAAAAGAAAAAGCTGAGTAGTACAGCACCCCTGGGTTCAAGCTCCAATACCAGGGAAAAAATTCCCTTTCCCTCTTCCTACCTGGCAGGGGGCTGCCTCCCTTCCTCTCATCTCCAAGATTCAGTGTCAGGGGAGGTGATGGGCAATGTGGCTGAGGTTTTTGAGTTGCAAGTTGTTCTAAGCACCCAGAGTGACAACAGTGAGTCCTTGGGGATAAATCAGCCCCCTAAGACCAGAGTGGAGAGCAAATGCCTAGAGCCAGAGGAGGTGCATCCCCAGCCTGAGTGATTTTTTTCCCAGGGGACCAAGTTCCCTCCCTAAAGGGAAGGTACATTGAGCACCCTCTAGTGGCTCCTAGGTGTCCTGGCACAGAGGGGAGGTTCTGGTCTGGAGGAGGCCAGGAGAAATGGTGGCAGTTCCCACTCAGCCCCCAGTAACTGTAGCATGCAGGCCTACTTCCCATATGACACAGCAACTCCATGACTTTAGTTTTAAAACACTGTATCTCTTTCCAATTCCCATCAACCAGCAAATGGCTCCTGAGCATTATTTCAACTTGATACTACTGAGCTTTAATAGAATTAGTATCAATTCCATGACAGTGGAATCAGGATCTCCATTTTACAGGAAATTGAATTCATAGGATTGTCCTGCACAAGGTCAGAGTATTGGGGCCTGGGATGCTGGCCCAGGCTCTCCATCCACATGCTCAGACATCAGTGCTCTTGCCAGGATCTGCAGGGACAGAGGAGAGATGGGTGGCTCAGATGCAGGGTTCACTGATCACTGACCTTGATGCTTTCTTACCACCACCCTGGGCTCTAGCCTCCCCCAGAGCCTGTCCCCATCCTGTCTCAGACTATCTCTTGCTTTTGCCTTTCAAATCCAGTGCCATTCCTCCCTCCCTCTCTGCCTGGCTGGCTGCTCTCATTTTCAGCAGCAGGCAGGCACATCCAGTTCCTGAGGGCCCCAAGGCTTAAACCCAGCATCTTTTCCTCAAAGCTTCCCCATCCTGCAGCTCTCTCACCCACAGGCCTCCCCAGGGCGGTCTTTCACCCCATCCTTACTTTGATTCTTTCTCATGTCCACCTCTGCACTGTTTATCCTAACCATTTACTTGCTTGCCTTTTCCCTTCATTGCCACTCTCTGAGCTCCCCAGGGACAAAAGCATTTAGTCTTTTTAAAAATGAAGTGCAAGCCAGGCCAAAATGGTGCCTTTCTGTAATTCCAGCTACCTTGGAGGCTGAAGCAGGAGGATGAAAAATTTAAGGCTAGCTGGGCAACTCAGGGAGACTTTGTGAAAATAAAAGGGACTCAGTGGTAGAGTGCTTGCTTAGCACACCTGAGACCCTGGCTTCATCCCCACCACACACACACACACACATACACGAAGGCCAGGGACAAGAGAGGTCCACCAGTGGGTATTGCTACCGTGGGATGGGAGTAATTCTTGTGTTCTGGGGCATAGCAGGGTGAAGGTACTGAACAATAAATAACACACCACAAACCTTAAAATAGAAGAGAGGAATGGAATTGATAAAAGTTTAGGGAGGGATATGCTAATCACCTTGAGTTGATCCCTACCCAAGGTAGATAGGAACAAAAACTGCATGGAACCTCACATATGGGCAAGTATGATGTGTCAATCAAAAACAATAAAACGAGAAGGGTAATTTCTTATTTCAACAGTAATATATGGTCATCGTTGACGGGGTGGAAACTACAAAAACCTACAAGGGCAAGAGAAACGGCCCAGAGCGGGGGCACCTCAAGGTGTTTGCAGTTACATAACGTTAGCCTCCATTCCATCATTTCCCAGGCTCCGCGCGCGGCTCCCCCCGGCGAGTCAGGATCCCACGGTCAAGTTTTGCACGGTGCTTTCCAGACGCTGCAGCCCACCCAGTGCACTCCCGCCACCGGGGGGCGGAGGGGGCGGGCCCCGCGGGGGCCGCCGGGCGCTTCGCCAGACCTGCCCGAGCGGCGCGCCGCCGAGGGACCCGCGCCGATCGCCGCACGCGGAGGTAGGTCTAGGGACCATGCGGGGCCGGCCTTCTAATTTCAAGAATTTTGGGGGCGGGCCACCTTCTAACCGACGCCGCGGCATTTCCCGATCAGCTCGCAGCAGCTCGGACGGGGCCAGGAAGTCCTTGAGGGGCCGGCGGGGCGGGGCCGGCGGGGCCGGAGGGGCGGGGCGCTCCCGCCAATTTCGGGCCACCGGCCGCTCTGGGAGCTGTTCTCGCGAGAACTCGCGGGCGGCGCGCAGCTCCGGGCAGTGCCCTTCCCGGGCCGGCGTCGGCGGCGCAGTGCGCAGGCGCGGCCGGCGGGTTTCCCCGGCTACTGTCGGCGCCGCC